GAGGGTTCCGCTGGGCACCCCCCGGCGGGTCGCGGGTCTGATTTTCTCGGGTTTGTCCCCTGACCCGATTCGGAGAGTCCCAAGGGGGCGTGGCGGCACCGGCCTGGGTCGCCCTGGGCGTCGGGCAGCCCAGCCCCTCCTGCCGGAGGGGACTTCAGCCTCCCCCGGTGCTTCCACGGGGGAATTCCTCCAGAGGCTCCGACGTGGCTCCGCGGGCGGAGGGGTCCTGTTTACCGTAAATGCCCTTGGTCGCTGGTGGCGTCATCCCAGACCAATTGCTGATCTGAGGGCCTGGTGTTGACTCTTCAGAATTCTCCCGCCGCTTCCCCCGCCATGCCTTGACTTTTTTCCTGGGTTCCATCCACCCTTTGCACTTACACACTTTTATTTATTTTATTGATGTCAGAGAGGGCAGGAGAGGTAGAGCGAGAGAGAAATATCAATGATGAGAGAGAATCATGGGTCTGCTGCCTCCTGCACGCCTCCCACTGGGGATGAGCCCACAACCCCCCACGTGCCCTGACCAGGAGTCCGACCAGGAATCCCACCGCGACCTCCTGGTTCATAGGTCCACCCCCAACCACTGAGCCACACAGGCCGGGCTGCTCTTACACACTTTTAACGAGCGATTCCACCCATTCTCCTGCGGATCCATCCCTCACACCATAAACAAAGATTGATTTCAAAGGCATGGAAGATGTCAATGGAGAAACCTCCTAAAAGTTTTATAACTTCCAGGAGAGAACCTAGGAGGAGGTATTTGTGACCTTATTTAGGCAGACTGAAGTCACCGCGCCTGTGCAGTAGAGGCGATGGGACCATCCCCGAGGCGTTACTGGGAAGATACACAGAAAGGGCTCAGCACGGCGCCAGGCAGTTGGTAATATTGGCGGTCGGAGAGATGGAGTTTGGAATTTTACAGCTATCTGGTGTCCACCAGGCTATGATATGACAGTGAGCCTCCTTTATCCCACCGGGGTTGGTTCTCATTCTTTTTCCCATTCACAAAAGTTCTATGAAATAATGTAGGTTCACTCATCATAGACCAATCCTCTAAATACAGTGTTTTATTGGTTCACAAAGGGTCATTTTAAGCAAACATTATTCTACTCTGATATATTGTTTTTGAGAAAAACTTTCATTCCTATCACTCTGCCATTGAGTTTTGCGCAGTAACCTTGGTTGGCAACAAATAAATGTGGACCCAGCGATTTGTTCATGCTTAAAGTAGAAGGTGGCAACATTAAAGTAATGTTGCAAATGGAGTTTATTTCTTAGTATTTTAGTAAGCAGTCTACCAGTGAGCGAATAAGATGTGCATTTGGGATAAAAAATAAATTAAGTTTTTACACTTTTTATAGATGCTCCACACCAATAAGAAGGAAAATTGTCGTACATTCATACAATACGATACTAGATGGACAACAATGAAAAAGAACAAAGTTCCGCGACAAGAAAGGACATGGAGCAGATGATACCGTGGAATGGGCCGTAGCTTGTGTCTAGCAAAGTCCACAAAATCGTAAGTACAGTTTGACAAATTTTTGCATATGTGTACAACCATGTACCCACCTCCTAGATCAAAATACACCCCATTCCCAGCATCACAGAAGTCTCCCTTTGTGTCCTCCCGTACATGCCTTCCCCTCCCCGAGGTAATGTTATTTTACCTCTAGTACCATAAATTACTTTATTCTTATAAATGGAATTATAATACAATGTACTCTTTCATGTCTGGCTTCTTTGGCTCAACTTTATTTCTGTGAGATTCATCATGTTGTTTTATATAGCAGAACTTCATTCTTTTTTCTCGCTGAATAGTATTCCATTATATGCATGTATCATGTTTATTTCTCTTCTTATTTTTCATGGATGTTTAAGATGTTTAGTTTCGGGTCCATATGAATAAATCTGATATGAACATTGTTATATCTTCTGTTGGACATAGCACTCATTTCTGTTGGAACATATACCCAGGAATTTAATTGCTAGGTTATAGGATGCATGTGTTTCTAGTCTGGTAAATAGTGCGAACAGTTTTCCAAAATGTGCAACTTACATTCCCATTAACTGCTGGTGAGAGTTCCAGTTTCTCCATATCTTTGCCAACACTTAGTGCTGTGAGTGCTTTGAATACTAGTGGGTGTGTAGTGGTATGTCATTGGGGTTGTAATTTGCAGTTCCCTAATGATCAGTGGTGTTCATCACCTCATATCTAATTTTTCTAAGTAATTAAAAAAATATTTTTAAGGCAAAAGTGTTTATCTCCCCACCACAGTGTCCTTTAAGTAGTGAGTCTGTGCTCGTGAGTACCCGCATTTCCAATAAGGTGCTCTCTGTAAACAGGCCTTGTGTGTGTGCACAGGAACTGTGTGTGCCTAAAGAGTCGGTGCCCACTCTTTCTAGCTCTGTTGCCAGTAACTATGTGAGTTAGGACCATTTTTGCTGTTCTGAGATGAATGCTTTAATCTGGATGAGTTCTAAACCACACTCACTGTAGGATTCAGAAACCTCCGTCTGGAAGAAGTGGATTAGAATGGAAAGAATACTAGATCAGTAATCAACCTGGGCTCTTTGCGGGCCTTTGCTTTATTTCATGGTCTAAACCCCAGTAAGTCTCTTCTTCCCCCTCCTCCTCTACCTTCCTTGAGCAGATTGTGATTTGAAAATAAGCAATTCTAGAATCCTTTAAGCCTGGAGATTAGCAAAACAATATACAAAATTTTAAGACCACATAAGTTGTCGTTATTAAATGTGTGTGCTAATAGGTAATAAGCTGTGTCGATCTTGAGTTATTCAGATTTAGCAATATGGTCACTTCCGATACTTATAGACTGTTTTTCCCTCCCTCCCCCCATGTATATCTAGAATCTTTTCAACTACAATTAAACCCTTGTCAATATCAAATTGCAGGATTTCCACAGACTTCATTTACTTGGAGTGGATTCAGTTTCACATTTTCTAAAACCTAGGCAGGCCTGGGATATGATTCACCCTAACCTCATTTCCTTGCATTTTACTTTGTTTATTTGGTTTTCTGTTTGTTTTGCAGCAATATTCTCTGTTGTAACTTTGAGTGACAGTGTTTCTTTTCAGCATTTTAAAACAACTCACCATCAGAGCTCATTAAGTCTTGAAAATAGTGACTTATTTGGATCCCGACCCATAGAGAATCTACTGTATTTTAATCATACCTTTGCTTCTGGCTATTGCTGGTCTTTGGCCATTCACTAAACAATACTTGACAAAATTCTGACAGTAGTGTAAACAGTGTTGCTTATTCCATGTACACCAATTGCAGGAACAGAGGAAAGCTGTGGTCTGGAGCCTGCCTGGGCTTTGGAGTCAAGTGGTGTGAACCCTTGAAATCAGACTCCTCTTATTAGCAATGTAACCTTAGGAAAGTCCCCGAGTTCTCAATTGTATTTGTTACGTGCAAAAGTCAGATAATAAAGGTACTTCCCTCATCGGACTATCATGTGGATTGAATGGGGTAATACTACACATTTGAACAGCTTTGAAAAGTATCTTGTACTTAGAAATCATTCATTAAATGTCAGTTTCCTTTATAGATATTACTGTCTTTAGGGTTTTTGTGAGGATTAAATGTGATGATATAAGTAAAGTGTATGTCAAAAGGCCTGCTGATATTACTACCAAACAAAGATTTTCCTCTGGCCAGTTGGTTCTACACGATTTCTGTGTATTAAGTAAAATTGCACTTTAGGACACCCCCCCCCCCTCACCCACCCACTCAAAAAGTGAATTTGCAAGTAGAATATTTGGTGCTCAGAAAACCTGGATTTCCAGGCTAAAGCTTAAAGCTTTTAATAGTTATAATGCAGCTGAAATGTTATGTGTAATGAAAGGAAGCAGTAGCTAGTATTAATATGTTTTCAAAAATAAATAATTAAAATTTTTAAAATAAACATTTTTTTATTAAATAATGATGTGATGACATGTTTTAGTTTCTAATAATTTTGTCCTATGGCCAGTTAAACTCCATCAGTAGTTGGGGTTTGGGGACATGGTGGTGTGAGACTCTGGGACTAATTCAATTCTTAAAGAAGCTGTAAGAATTCTTTTTATTTTCTTTATTACAAAACTACATTAGTTTCAGGTAACACTTCAAGAATCTGTAAGAATTCTTACATAGAAGTTACTAATAGAATCATACTAATCTTGCTACTCGCATCACTTACCTGTGGTCTGCGCCTCTGTCTGGCCTCCCGGTGTTTCTCAGTAATAGAGTGCCTTGCCTTGTCCCTGCATTTTTCTCCCGTATTATTTCAAGAGGTTGGACCAGGCAACTGATTGTAGTCTGCTGAGAGACTTGATTTCTTGCCCTTGGTCCCTTTTGAGTACCCTTTTGCAAAACAAGACCCTCAGAAAGCTAGGTCCCTCCCTGTGGGAACTGTCGGTCACTGAGTGCAGTTGAACGGGTTGTGCACCGCACAGTCTCAGGAAGTGCCATCACGTGGACGCCAGACGACCTGCTCAGCTGGACGTGGTGGCCCAGTGACTTGTTCACCGGGTGTGCTCCTGCTTGAATAGCTACTCTGAACCGCGTGCTACTTGATTTTTATCTATTTATTTCTGCTTTAAGCGAATGGTTCATGCCAGACCATCGCGTGCTGAAATGGCGCTTTCAAAGGGTGGTCTTCTCTGGCAGCACGTGCGGAGATCCTCGCCTGTCTTCCATTATTTGGTATCGTCTGCGTTGCATCTTGCTTCTGGTCAGTTTGTCTTGATTTTCACAGCCACTCGGTTTGCTAGGTGCTGTGTCTCTTCCTGGGCTGCTCCTTCCCTACTTTATCCCACAGGAATCTTACCCTTTAAATGCTAACTTAGGAGCCCCTTGTCTGGGGTGCCCTCCCACCTTACCTAAGCTGCAGTTTCTTCCCCCCTTGCTCTTTTGATTCCCTGTGATATCTTATTAGTCTTGCATGTTATTTCTCTAGTTAGACTAGATTTCAAGGCAGAGGGCCGTGTTTTGTGTGTCTGCATGGTCTCTGTACACCTGTGTTCGTGCTTTGCTCATAACAGGTGCCACGTGAATGAGTGTAGAACGACTTGGTGAACATGCGGCCTAACAAGAGCCGTCCAGTTGGGATGCACTTAGTGGACTCGAGGGGAGAGGCGAGGCCAGGGAGGTGATTGAGAACACGATTAGTGATCATGCATGAGGTGACACTCAGTCTGGAATGTTCTCAATGGCGAATCGAGTTGAGATGCGTTGACTGTATAAATCAATGTGCATGACCATGAACACAGTTAAATTGGAGGGGAGCACAGGGATTGATTAAAACCTGATATTTCTTACTCTTAGAAGTTTATGTCAGATGTCGGGGAAAATAAATTCAGATCAAGTTAACAATAATCTGCATTCAGTGTAATCACGCATAAAACCACAAAGAAATGGATCCTAGACATGTCTCACTTAGTCTTTCCAGGGCTGTGCTAACATTTAATTGCTGTAAATGTAAACTCCACTTCAGGGTGAAATTCCTACAAAACTGAAAGGAGATGTGGGATTTTTCTTCCCTGTTGTAACCAGCTGGACACATGACTGGCGAAGCATGGAGAGAGTTGAGATTATTACTCATTTCTGCGAGTCAGTGGCAGTACTTTTACATCCCTCTCCCAAAGCCTCCTGAGAGCTAGACTTCCTTTTTTTCATGAGGATCACATTTTTGAGAGATTCTTGCACATTCGGGAGTGTTCACCACTTGCAGAGATTTAGCCTAAGTCCTTGCACAACTAATTTGAAGCCCTATAATAACTAACTGGCCCTTACCGTGCCTTTCAGTACAAAAAACATTTTCCGAGTGTCATGCATAGGGCCGTGTGTTCTGTTCTCTCGGGGCCAGGGAGAAGCACAAGTTACCATCTCCACCCTCTAGAGATGACACCGAGGGGAATGCAGCATTCATGGCTGCGCTCCCTGGGGTGACCTGACCATAGTGACGCCTGCTGTACACACGGACCAGCTGCACAGCGGGAAGAGGGAATGAGGTTGATATGCTCGACACTGCTCTAATAGCTTGGTCTAATTCTGCTCTTTTTATAATATCCAGGTAACACATGGAACCTCTTTCTGGATGCTTGACGGGCCCCAGATAACCACAGTTGATGTGTGTCGTGGTTTTGGGGGGACTGTTGGTAGGGTGTTGTCCAGGGATCCTAACACGGTGCAGATGGCCAGCCTTGCGGATGGACTTCAGCCTACAGACGTGCTGACAGGATCCTTCAGGCTGCCCAGACATGTTTCTGAGTATGGACTGATCCTAACTACGTCTACCGGTTTCTGAGACACAGAGCTGGCTGCCATTTTGTCAGCTGTACTGGTGTTTGGGGAGAGACAAAGAATGAGTATTCTACTTAGGGCATTCCTTCTCTTAGCTGCCAGTTTGAAGATACTTGATGAGCATTACATCCAAATAGGTAAGTGAGTATAATTACTAGACTCTGGGAAGACATAGGGAAATGTCGATCTTCCACCCAGCACACTCACTCATGGAATCCTTCTGAGCCGCATAGACAAGTTCCCTTTCTGAACCCTGCTTCCTGGGCTGATGTTTTCATATGGTCTCTCTGTGCATTAAAGGCACTGGCTGGGCTGTAGTCTGGCTGCCATTCCTTACCACCGGGAAAAGTTCCGTGTGATGTGTGGATACATTTGGCCAGTTCTCAGTCCTTCTAGGCTCATCCCTCTATTGCAGTCTATATTTTCAGTTTTGATATTTATACCGAAGGTCTCATCCCTTTTGCAAAGCAAGAGCCCAAAAAAGCTAGGTCCTCCCCTGTGGGAACTGTCAGGGTGACTGAGTGCAGTGAACCAATTGTGCACTGCACGGCCGCAGGAAGTGCCACTCACATGGATGCCATACGACCTGCTCAGCTGGACGTGGTGGCCCAGTGACCCTTGTTCACCTGCTGTGCTCCTGCTTGAATCTCATGTTACCTGATATTCTTGGTTTGCTTTTGTCCCTGGGAATAGTCTACCTTGGAGTTGAACTTCACTGTTGTCTCTAGTCTCCCCCTACCGATGTGGTTTTTTTCCGGGAATACAGGGTTCCTCATCTTGTGTGATGAGCATGACTCCTTACCTTTCTCTGGATTGCAGTGCATCTCTTCTCCCTCTTTCACAGAGAACGTGTCTCATCTATAGCCTCTTCCACAGTTCTGCCTACTCCTCCCTGCTGGCTTTTCCCTTCTGCATATTAGAGTGTACCCGACTCAGTGGTCAGCACCCCCTTCCTCTGAGTTTTGCCCCATCTGGCTGTTTCCAGTACAACTCAATGAGAGCCTAGGAGGGCTTATCCACTCCCGTGGCTCCGCGGTCACGGTTAAACTTATGGCTTTCCTAACTTCCTGTTCTCTGAATGGATGTTGCCTGGAGCTCTGGCCAGATGAAGGGTTTTCTGCTGGTAGGGGGGCTGCACCTCCTTTTTTCTCTGGTTTGGACTTGCTGTGGAGAACAACCAGTGTATGAACCATGCAGCCCCTCTCTGTACCTGGCCAGAGTCAAGTCAACTGCACTTGGCAATAACCTACCCGTGGCCCCTGAAGAAGTGTTCCTAGGAGATCAGTGTCCTGGAACCTCGGTGCCTGAAGGCTTTTATGAATCCTGATACCGTCCCACTGGTTGTACCATTAGGATTGAGGTCCTTCCAGGGGATCATCTCCTTTTTATATCTGATTTTTAAGTCAATGTTCTCCACTCTTGAAGCTTCAGTACCTGTGGCCTGAGCTGTACCCCGCCACCCAGCTCCTGTAAGAGTAAGCACAGGAAATGTTGCAAATAAACAAGGTGGTCCCCCCAAAAGATCAGGAATAGCAAATTTATACAGTGGAAAGACAAGCAGAAATTCAAGAGCGATGCTCAGTTTTGCTACTTTAAAAAGTCACCTGGCTGATCTTGCTCCACCTGAGAGTTCAGAAGCTGAGAGAGCCCCCACAGCTGTGACATAGGAGGACTGCTGTTAGGGGCCGGAATCAGCCTCAGGACCCTGTTTGTTATCTTAAGTTTTTAAACATTTTACATTGGATTTTTAATGGAATGGATCTTTGGGGTTTTACAATCCTTTACCTAGAAGGGTCTGCCTCTGTTTTTAACCTCATACGTACTTTCTAATAAAATTTTTTTGAATTCATGGCATTCCTGTCTGTATTTTCACTTGCAATTTCTTTCCTGAGCTGCCAACCCAGCTACTGAACCACAGGTCTGCTGCACTTAGTGTTCCACTAAGAACTGAACCTCTTCCCACCAGACATGCTTTCTTCCCCGGTCGCCTGCAGTGAGGAGCGCACAGCCGCACTGAGCCCTCAGTCTCACTGGTGCCGACCCCTCAGGTGCATATGTCTCTTGGTTCTAATTCCTCATTCCAAGGCCTCCTGTTTTCCTCCAGAATTACCTCATCACTTCCTAAAACTCATTCCAGGCTCCGGGGACATATAATCTGTTGTAACACTGCTCTAAATATTTTTTTCCAAAACACTTTATTAGCTTGAAATCCTTCAGTGCTTCCCAGCACCTTGAACATAGAATCCAGACTTCTCATCATGTGTATAAGGCCTTTGGTGTTCTGGCCGGTGTTTCTCTAACTGCAACTCTGACCTCTGCTGCGTGCCACTCACCTGCAATCGGGACTGAGCCCCCCCCCCCCCCCCAACATCCACACCACCTCTCCCAAGCGTGCCCCTTCCTCCTGGGTGCTCCTTGCTCAGCTCTCACACTTCAGTCCATTGTCACTTCTTTCAGGCCCTGCTTCTCTTCCTCATCCACTCACCTGGCAGTGACATTCTTCCTGTTTCCTGTTCCTTCCATGGCACCAAGCATTTCTACTGTCCACGTTGGTCCAAGTCTTCCCTAGACTGGAAGCTCCCTGACGGCAAGAACTATGTCTTATCTTTGTGTCCTGTCGACTAGAATGTACCTGTGCAACATACTTAATAAAAGTTTGTTGGATAAAAATGTGTCTGGTATCTTGAGTTCTTCACAAATAATTACTGTTATCCACAATTACAATGCTTTTTACACAGATGTTATAATGCAAAATAGGTTTCCTCTCAGAATAGTCACAACTGTTGAATCAAAGAGCTTTGAGATAAGAGAAAGTAGGTCAGGCAAACAAGTGGCAGTGAATACAGGAGACCTGACACTAGCTGCCTCAAGTTACGCCCAACTTCAAAGGTGAGGGGCCCGTCCTCCACAAAACCGCCCTCATTTCACAACCGCTGCAAGCCTGGGAATCCCCAGGGCTACCCTCACTTCTTAGCTGCTTACAGATTTGGGAGGTTCCCAAATAATAGACCTATCACTGGGGAAATTCCAAGATTTAAAGGCTACCTTACAGGAACCTGGAAAAAGGGGCACCCACATTCTTTATCCAGCAGTCAGAGACCATCGGAAAACAAGCCTGGCCGCTGGAACTAAAGCTTTGCAAAACGTAAATTGTGTTGATAGTCCGAATCCGTGTTCATTTGTCTGTTTTATTCATATCAAGAAAGGACCACGATTCGGAGGAAATGAAACAGGCTCTCGAGATGCCTGCACTCCTGTGTTCATAGCAGCGTCATTCACAATACCAAGATGTGGAAACAACTTGAGTGTCCATCCACAGGTGAATGGATAAAGAGGTGTACATATGCAGCTATGAGGAAAGGAAGTCCTGCCATTTGCAACAACCTGGGTGGACCTTGACATTATGCCAAGCGAGAGAAGTCAGAGACAGAAAGTACTAAGTGTGTCACATGTGGTATCTTAGAAGTCAAATGCGTAGAAACAGTAGAAAAGCAATTGCCAGGAACTATGGAGTAGGGGAAATATGGAAAGGTGGGTAAAACTTCGTTTTAGTTACAAAATGAATAAGGTCTGAGGATCTAATGGGTAACATGATTATAGTTAACTAGAGGCCTGATGCATGAAATTTGTGCAAGAGTAGGCCTTCCTTCCTCTGGTTGCTGACACCTGCTTCCCTCCAGGACCCAGGCTTCCCTCGCAGCCCCGGCTTCATCCAGAAGGACGTCCGGTCTAATTAGCATATTACACTTATTTTTATTATAGATAGCATTGTATTATATAATTGAAATCTGCTAAGAGAGTAGACTTAAATGTTTTCACCAAAAGAAGAAAGGACTTTGGCATTCATGTTCTGATTAAGTCTGAAAGGCACTCAAATACTGGGTTGTCAGCATGGGTTTCCAGTGGGCAGTCTGTTAGAGGCTGTCCATACAATAAAAGTTGATCAGAGCACGGAAATAACTTCTGAGAGGAAATGTTCAAAATGACAAAGGATTTGCATCTGAAGACTTACCAGTAAGTTCTGCTCAGAGGGAAAGCTCCCTTTTCTCCTCTACTCTCACATTACAGCCACATTCTCTGACACCAGATGTGTGGGGTTTTCCCCCCAGCAGCTGAGCATCCTACAATTCAACTGCACAGGTTAAGGCTCAGCCCCACAAGACTGCTTCCCACTTCACCAATCACAAGTAATAGGTCCCGAGGAATGATGCTTGTTTTTTTCTACCACCAAGCAAGTCTGCAATCCCCCGAATACTGAGATATCCAGATGTCCTACAGTTGAACTCAATTCTGACACTGTCTTCTGGAAAATAATGTCAGATCCCACAGGTGAAGAACTCAGTCCTAGGAGGCAGCCCCCGTCCAGGTGGTTCCCAGGGCTGCTGGATGACTGTAGATCGGAGCTGCCCACTGCCCCTATCAGGATTTGATGCATTTGCTAGAGCAGCTCATAGAACTCGGAGAAGCATTTTACTTACTAAATCACTGGTTTGTTATAAAGGGATAGAACTCGGGAACCGCCAGATGGAAGACATGCGTAGTGCAAGGTATGCAGGAGGGGGCTCAGCTTTCATGACCTCGGCTACTCTCCCACCATCTCTAGGTGTTCAACCTGAGAACTTTGAATCCCTCCTGTGGGGTTTTTATGGAGGCGCCATTACTTAGGCACAGCTAATGAAATCATGGGCCACTGTGATTTTTTAAAAAATTTTTTTATTCATTTCAGAGAGGGAGAGAGAAACATCAATGATGAGAGAGAATCATTGATCAGCTGCCTCCTGCATGCCCCATACTGGGGATCGAGCCTGCAACCTGGGCGTGTGCCCTGACAGGGAATCGAACCGTAGCCTTCTGGTTCATGGGTTGATGCTTAACCCCTGAGCCACGCCAGCTGGGTGGCCACTGTGATTGATTCAACCTCCAGCCCCTCTCCCTCTCTGCAGGTCAGAGTGAAGCAGTGGGATTAAAAGTTGTAATTCTCTAATTATGGTTGGTTCCTTTGACAGCCCCCCATCTTTAGGGATTTTCAAAAGTTACCTCATTGACATACACTCAGGTGTGGTTGAAAAGAGGCTAGTTGTGCATAGCAAGACACTCCTTTTTTTCTTTATGGCTCCGGAGCTATTTCAGGAACTGGTGGCACAAGGCCATGTAATGTAACAAAAGATGCCCCTATGGTTGTATATAGGAAATCAAAAGGCTTTGGGAGTTCTGTGCCAGGAACGGTGGAAGAAGACCAAATGTATATTTCTTATTATAAATCACAATATCACACCAGGTTACCCATAACTTCTGTCCAGTTTAACTACAATTTTAGTTTTGCATGCTCCTCCTGGGATTTAATCATTTGCTAGAACAGCTCTCAGAACTCAGGGGAACACTTCTGTTTACTGGTTTATTGTATAACTAGAGGCCCAGTGCATGAAATTCGTGCACTGGTAGGGTCCCTAGTGGCTGCCAGCTTCCCCCGGCTGGCCCTGTCCCCTGGTTGAAATCCTGGACACCTCTCAGTCGAGGGGGCAGTTTGCATACTATGCTTTTATTATATAGGACTAGGGGCCCGATGCACAAAATTATGCAAGGGCCTTGGCCCCCACCACCACAGCAGCTACCTCTGCCCCGGCCCCCTCCCACTGTGGCTTTGTCTGGAAGGAAGGACATCCAGAAGGACATCCGGTCTAATTAGCATATTACGCTTTTATTATTGTAGATAGAGGATGGAATAAAGGACACACATGAACTGCTGGATGAGGAGATAAATAGGGTGAGGTCTATAAGGGTCCTTAGCACAAGAGCCTCTGTCCCTGTGTAGCGGTGCACCACCCTCCTGGCACATGGATATGCTCACCAACCCGGAAGCTCCCCGAACCCTGAACTACTGGGGCTTCTATGCAGGCTTTATCACGTTGGCACTGTTGCTTAGCCCCTGCCCTCTCCAGAGACTGAGGGACTGCACTGAAAGTTCAAGCTTCTAATCATACTTTTTCTGGTAACCAGTCCCCCTCCAGGAGCCCACCCAGAGTCTCCTCAGAACAAATGATGTCCCTGTCACCAGGGAATTCCGAAGGATTTAGGAGCTCAGTGTCAGATGTTCCTGTCACCTAGGGAATTACAAAAGTCTTAGGAGCTCTGTGTCAGGAACCCAGGCCAAAGACTAAAGATTAGAACCAAAGATTCTCCCAGCCGCCCCCCTTACAAGGGTTTTGAAAGGTCTGTGTTAGGTATTGGGGCAGTGGCCAATATAGACATTTTTTTGGTTATTTTACACTACTCAAAGATAAGAGAACTCAGTTTTTAAAAATGACTCAAATATCACCACTTCACCAGAGAAAATTTATGAATGACTAGTAAGCACAGGAAAAGGTACTCAGCATCATCATTAGTCATTAGGGAAATACAAATTAATATTAACAATGAGATACCACTCTACACTCATCAGCATGGCTAAAATTAAAAAAAATCAACACTCCCCAGCCCCACAGCATGGTGCAGTGGCTGAGCGTGGACCTAGCAAACAAGAGGCCAGGGTTCGATTCCCAGTCAGGACACATGCCCAGGTTTCAGGCTCGATTCCCACAGTTGAGCTTGCAGGAGACAGCCAATCAGTGATTCTCTCTCATCATTGATGTTTCTCTCTCTCCCTCTCCCTTCCTCTCTGAAATCAATAAAAATATATTTAAAAAAATAAAAAGAAGCCCTTCCTGGATGACCCCTCCAACTTGGCACCTGGCAAGGTGTCCTCTTGTTCTCTGTTACAGAGACACTTGCCCTGTTGGTACTTCTGGATAGTGTTTGTTTTCCCTGTTGCCTTTAAAAAAGATTTCTCTTTCTCTTTTACAGTAATTTTATTTAGTCTTTTCTCTTTTACTTTTCAATGGGAAATAGAAATAAGAAGGGGGCAGCTCATTTAACAAAGTTTTTGCATATGTTGGGTCTGCACAAATATTTATTGATTTAGGCAAAATTGTCATTGACAGTAAAACCATATATGTCATGATTAGCCTATAGGTACAGGTCCTCTACCCAAATACCAGTGTTAAAAAAAAATTTTTGTGAAATTTTGGTTTTAGTTCATAGACCCAGTGGCCTTTCTCTTGAATGCTGGGAGAAGCCCTTCAGCGAGTAGTTCTAGCCTTGGGGAGGCCCAAATAATTGGTGTGTCTGTTTTAAGTTAAGAAACACACATAAGATGATTATTTTATCAAGTAAATATTAAGATTATAAACCAAACAAATTCCTAACTATTGTGAGATTAAAGTATTTTAGGTGGCGTTTTCACTCCAAGTAATATCTCTCCTTGACTTCATTGGAGACAGACTAAGACTTCCCTTGATGAACAACTAACTTAAGGTCTACTTCACTATCATAATGAAATCCTGCCATTCACCCATTTCTCATAAATGTCTTCTTTATGAAGTATGCTCATCTTTAGTCAGCCAAACTTTAAGTATGTCCACTTAACAACACTGGGCATGTAATAGAGTGTTTGAATTTACTGATTAATACATTTACGTTCCTTCCTACAAAAAAATTAAGAACTTTTCTAGGGAGTACCAGAGTTTCCACTGTAATGTGTACTTTGTCATTGTGACAGGAAGCTAATTTCCGTGAGGCTTAAATTCTAACAGCCGCGCTGCACCTGTTGCTGGGGGCGCCCCTCAGAGAGTGGG